ATAGCATTCAGCAGCTGTTAGCTACTTAGTATTTTCAGAATGTTCTCTGTTGGACATAGAAAAATAAAAAAGTTAATGATCATGTCTGTCAGCTCGGGAATAAAAATAGTAAGCAATGTAGACTATTTTACATTTTTACTAGATGTTTGGAACTTAGTTTAATTCATATAATACTTAACATTTTATTTTACAGAATTTCAATTTTATACTACTTCCATACCTATTGCTTAGGTTCAGTTACTATTACTAAGACTATAATTACTAAGACTGTAATTATGTTACTAATAGATTATATTAACATTTTGCTATACTTGCTGAATTACATGTCTGTCTGTCTTTATTCCTCTTTCCAGAAAGCAGTCCATCTTGATAAATTTTATACCATTTGTTTGAGAGGTTCTTGCTATGTAATTTAGACTGGACTTGAACTCACTCTTTAGCCTAGGCTGACCTCATAAGGATCTTCTGCCTCTGCTTCTTGAGTGCTGGGATATAGGTGTGTGCCACCATACCTGGCATTATTTGACAAATTTTAAAGTAAATGTTAGACATCATTGTACTTTTCCCTAAATACTTAATAGTGGGTATTAATTGATTAGAATTCAATGCTTTTTTCTTTTGAGACAGAATTTATTATACAGTGAAACACAAAGTTCTTAATCATTCAGTGAGCTTTGAGATGTAATCTTTGTAATCCAAACTCCTCTCAAGCTATAGAGTATTACCCTTACTCCAGCAAGTACTTTCATGTTGCTTCTGCATTTGTCCCCTTTGTGAATTCCCAGAGACAACTACTGTTACTAGATTTAAAATTATTTTAAAGATAGAAAAGTAAACAAAAATAAAAATAATACAGTTTCAAAACAGGATAATAAATTAACAATGGCTAATATATTGCATGTTGTCTTCAGAATAGTTGCTCACATTATAAGATAGAGGCCTGCAAAATTAGTCAATATAAGCACCAACTAATCCTTTCAGTGATCTAAAAGAAATTAGTTGTATAATTATGTCAGAGATGAACACACACTTCTCAGATGAAGAAATACAAAAGGCAAATATACATACATGAAAAAATGTTCAACATTATCAATCATCTGAGAAATGAAAATTGAAACAGCACTGAGATTTCATCTCACCCCAGAAAAAATGGCTAATATCATGGATTTTAAAGAAATTTATGAATTAGTTTTGCTTAAAATTTTTAGAAGTTTGGGGGCTGGGGATTTAGCTCAGCGGCATAAGCGTCTGCCTTGCAAGCAGGCAGTCGTGAGTTCGACCCTGGTACCGATAAAAACGAAAAAGACAGAAAAAAATTTTTTTAGAAGTTTATACATGTGGAACCATATAGTATGTACTAAAATAGACTTTTCATTTGACAAATTCCTTTTGATTGCTGAATAGTATTTCATTGTTTGGGTATATCATAATTTTATTACTTCTGTCAACATAGAAGTTTTAAAAAGAAAAATATAGCATGGAGGGTCTTCTTTGGAAAGCAGTATTACTATGAACATGATTGAGGCCAAAGAGATACACAGCCATTTTACTAGTTCTGTCATAGTCAACATTAAAACAAATTTTAATTATTGCTTTCAGAAATGAACAGGAGTGTTCCATCTTCTGATTCTGAAGTAATAATTATTAAATATATTCAGAGGTCGAAGAAAAAAGGAAACTTTCTTTTCCCCTCTACTTCTAAACAGAACCATAGTCCTGGTGTTAACTAAGAATACTTTTATTATATATCTAAAGGACTCAGTTTAGTACTAGTAGGAAATTACAGCACTATACATACTACATTTCTTTTCCCCTTAAATATTTTATGTTTCATTAAAATCTTTAATGTTATGTTTGGTGGTGCGTGTCTGTGTTTGGTGGTGCTATCCCAGCATTTGAGAGGTTGAGGCAAGAGGATTATGAATTGCAGACTAGCCTGTATTACTTAGCAAGACAGATTTTGAGACAAGACTTTGTCTCAAAAAGCAAAGTAAAAGTAACTTCATAAACTGAATACTTCTTATTTCTGAACTGTTATAAATGATGCTTCAGGGAACATCTTCACATGTTTGTTGATTGTGTATATCTGCATCTAATAATTTCTTTTGAACAGATTGAAAAGTGTAATTGGTAGGTTGGAGAATTATAAACATGTAAGGTTAATAAACACATAGTTAAATTGCTTACAAAAAGGCAAGTAGTTTACATTCTAACAGATAAGTACATAGTTTGAATAGTCATTGCCAATTCTCGATTTTAGTTTAATGGTAGAAATAGGATGAAATGGATAGAAATGAGATGAAATGGAAAGGTAAACCTTTAGATTACTTGTTTAGGAAAGAACTAAAGTTTTTCAGAGGATCTAAATTTAAAATACTTAATAGTATTAGCATTATGTTAGCTATGACCCTTTCCTTTTTCAACATGAAGTAACGGGCTAATCAGAAAAGAAAATATTGTGAACTTTGGTTATGTAGTTAAAAACAAAGGTGACTGGGTATGATAGAATCTAGTTTTGAGTTTTTGCTCTGATTTGTAAATTTAGTTCTCTCTCTCTTTTTTTAATGCACAGCCTCAAGAAAATACGTGGCAAAGTCTGGAAGCAGAGAATATCTAGCCCTCTGTTCAACACCAAACAATATACAATGGAACTAGAGCGGCTCTACCTGCAGATGTGGGAGCATTATGCAGCTGGCAACAAGCCTGACCACATGATTAAACCTGTTGAAGTCACTGAGTCAGCATAATAAAGACTGTGTACAGGAGAATTACCCCAATACCTGAGCCTCAACCTTCTGGGGAAAGGGAACTAGATAACATATTTTTTACTTATCTGTACAGTATCATGTTGCAGATGGGTGATATATAATGGTAATAGAATAGCACAGCCAGACTTGCTTCCTACACAGTAGGGAGAAACACAAGAGATGGAAAAATGCTGTTCCACAAGGAATCTCCAGAGTTTTGCATCTACCAGGTCTGGAAGGTCTGATCTCCCTTGGTCTTCCATGGGATGGTTAGGGTGGAGGGGAGATACAGACTGTCCAGCCCTTATGAATCTATGGATTGATTGAGTCTTCTGAATTAGTTTTCCTCTCTTTATATTTTGGGTTTTGGAGCTTTTAAAAATATTTGGTTTCAGGTATTTTTTATCATGTGAAGTGTTTTTGATTCTCTTGAGATAAGGTTTTAAGCTAAAATGTTGCTCCCTGTTTTAGTTTCTAAACTCTGACAGATTAAGGAGGACTTTGCTGGTGTAGTCTTTTATAGGTTTTATAAACCACTTGAGCCTATATCAGTCATTTTAGTGTTTGACCTGATGTTTAAAGCTATCTGTACTTTTTTGGTTCAGATGATACTCAAGATTTTTCTTGTCTATTTCCTTTTCTTTCTTTCCTTCACTTCACCTCCCTTAAAAACTCTCTTGCAGCTAAGCTAACAAAATCATGTCTGATTCAGAACATCCCAGAGTGTTTCTCTTAAACACATCATCTGGTGCCAAATGAAAATTCTTAGGAGTGATTTACTAATTATGAAGGGCACAGTTGTGGTACTGTTATTGATTGATACTTTTTTGCCTAATTTTGACCTATTCCACCAGTGTTTTACCCTTGACTGCCTCTTTTATGCTGCTTCCACAAATGATAGTGTGATAAGATTTTTACCTTCCTTTCTAAAGTTGTTTTTTTTTTTTAAAGTGAGTCCTGTTCTTCCTATTTCTTTCAGCAGAAATGAAATCCCAGGTAAGTATAAGTATTCAAATATTTGATCAGTAAGTTGCAATTATCTTCACTACATTAATATTCATTGAAAAATGTGTTATAGGTAAAACTCATTGAAGGACCATCTATGTATAAAATTAATTATTTTTCAGACTTTGTTAGGATATTATAACTCTTCTGGGCTTGGTTTTGAAGTCTGTATTGATTCAGCCTCATTTATAGCAAATTGCACTGTTACTTGGCATGGAGTACAAATTAAGCTTTAGAGTCCTCCTGAAGCTTGAGTTGTTGGTATCAAAAACCATAGGAATAAAATTAATCACATTTCACAGGGGGTCAGGGGCTTGAGGCTTAAGCCAACATATGAAAATATGTTTGTCTTACTGTGTTGCACTTATGGTATAATGTCACAGATAATTTTTTGTCTGCTAGTAGTGTTCTAGATAATATTGTCTTTCCAAAGCTCTGAGGCAGTGAACCTATTCTAAGCTGTTGCCTGAATGTATCCTGGCTGACAAATTACTGAATAATATGAAGAACTTAAATTTCTGAAAGATTCTTACTGCTAACCAAAATCTGAGTAAGGAGTCTTAAATGTAATTCTGTTTCAGAATTACATGTTAATAAACTGTGTGTACCTTTCAACAATGTAAATCAAGAGACATCAGTTAAGGGATTTCTCAGTTTATTTTCATCTAATTGAGCTATCAGTTAAGGTTACTAGCATGGTTGCCAATAAACTGATTGAAGTTCACTGAGCTGCTCATTGTGAAATAGGATACTATACTTCCAATGCCCTCAAGGCTGTAGCCTTACAACTGTTTGACATAGCACATCATTCCTCCTATAGGGATGAACTTCCTGGCACGAACAGTAGCCGCTCTGGTTGAAGCTTCGCTTATTGTAATAGGCTTTTATTCCCAGGTAATAATGTCTGTGGAAGACTTAATTCTGAATAGAAATATAGACATTACTGGAAACTAATCTTTTTTCTATTATACTCTGCTTTATCAAAAAAGTAATACATTTAAGTTGTGCTACAGGAATTCAGATGTTGTCTTGCAATCTTTAAATAATAAATGAATGATTTCTCCTTAACATGGCTGATGTATTTTATATCTTGTTATTGTGAATGCTAGACAGAGTAATGGGGTCAACCCATGGTGAAACTTACATTTGAACAGCTTCAAACAAATGGTACAGATTTTCCTACTTGTAATAGAAGAATTTTTTTGTTTATTCAGTGGAGGAGTGGGTTTGGTACATGATCCCTTAAGAAGGTAAAGCTGGGTGTGGTGGTGCAGGAGGAGCCCTATGAGTTGAAGCCAGCCTGGGCTACATAGTGAATTCAAGACCAGCATAAACTGCATAATGAGACCCCATCTCAAAAACAAAACAAAACATTTGCTTCCTTAAAAAATTCATCTTTGTTCCTCTTTTGCTTACAACTACTGTGGCTTTATTTACTCTTGAGGCCTCATTCTTTTTGTGGACTATTGTTTTTGACATTTTGCAGCACACGTTATTTTCCTTGCTGACTTGTAAAGTGGTTAGATTCAGCCATAAGGAAGATTTCAATGCAGTAGGAGTCCTGAACAGGCTATTTGCCTGCCAGTTTTTTTCAGAGATAAGGAGAGGGAAATATTTCTTTTCAATAAAATTTTGGGTGATTTACTTTCCAGCTTGTCTTCATTATACTCTCAGAGCCCTAAAGTGGATTGGTGTTGTTTTCCTGGAAGACCATGGGGAGAAAGGTGTGTAATATAGCACATCCTAAGTTTTCACTTGTTTTTTTTAGTTTTTGTTTTTTGGTGGCCAGTCTTTCTATGTAGCACAGACTGGCCTACAACTCTTGGTAATCTTTCTGCCTCAGCCTCCTGACTACTGGGATTACAGACGTGTGCCACCAGGCCCCTTGTCCTGCCTTCTTAATTAATTTTTTGAGGCAGAGTCTTACTAGGTAGCCCAGGCTGGCCTTGAGCTCGTGTTGATCCTTCTGCCTCAGTCTCTGTAGTGCTGGGATCATAGGTGTGTGCCAGCTCACTTGGCTCCTTCTGCCTTGTTTTTTATCTATTTAGCTTCTCCTTCCTTTAGTGTAAAGGACTGGTTTGATTGCCTTGAATAAACTTACACTGTATAACCTCTGAATTGCCTTTTATTTTATTTTTTTTATTTTTTGAGGGTATCGGGAGTTGAACCCTGGGCCTTTGTATTGAGCTACATCCCTGGTCCTTCATTCATTCATTCATCCATTTATTTATTTATTTTTGAGACAGGATCTTGCTGAGTCATTTAGTTGCCCAGGGTAGCCTCAAACTTGGGATTCACTTGTCTTTTCCTCCCAGAGTCCTGGGATTGCAGGCATGCACCACCACACGAGGCATAAAGTGCTGTAAGATTTTATTCTAATCCTAACCCACTCTTGTTTGAAGCAAATGTGTCTTAATAGGTAACATTTAGGTTCCTTGCTCAAACTTCCAAGGCAGTTTTGTGAAGGAGGCTTATACAGGAGTAGGCTTCATTTGCAAGTTAATTATTAGTAATGAACAGCTCCTTTTATACAGTATCCTATCAATTCAAAGTACTTTTATACATACGAACAATTTGGTGTGTTAGGGGTTTGGGGATTACCCCTGTTGGAGTTTGAATCTCAGGTCTGACACTCTAGTCATATGATCTCTTAAAATGAGAGCACTAAGCTAGCCCTCTCCTTTCTAATTTGGGGACAGGAGTTGCTATGTTGCCCAGGCCTTAACTTCCAGAGTGGCTGGCACAGCGGGGACCATCATACTCCACTTATTGCCTACATTTTAAAAGTGTTACTGTAAAGATGAATGACTCTAAAAACTTTTGGAACCAGGAATCGAACTCATGACCTCGTACTTGCCAGGCAGGCACTTATGCCACTGAGGTAAATCCCTGGCAACAAGATGAATAAATGCATAAAACACAACATAGCACAAAAAACCATCAACTATCAAGTGCAAGGATGATTTATTTGTGTTGGCCGAATGCTTAAAATTAAGAAAAGTATGTGTACCTGATGTAAAAAAGTATTTACTTCTTCCATTGGTTTTTCTTGGTGTGTTTGGAATGAGTGTCAAAATACTTAAAAGTTGATTACCTTTTTATCTCTAGGGATCTGATGGTTTTGGAATTAAATTTCCTAACACAGTGCTGCTGGGCCATATTGGCTTGCTACTTTGCTCTTATCTAGGGGCAAGGGTGCCCCTTCCCCACGAGCTCAAAGGAGTTTCTAGGGTGGGCATGTGATAAGTAGTTTGAGCACCTCCCACAGGGAGCAAGCCTTATTTTTATCCAAGTTCTCACACGCGTGAAAATTAAGGAAAGATCCGGCCTGATTTTTCTTGTCACTCAAAAAAAAGGCAACTTAGCGAGACAGTTAGCCCCAGAATTCGGCTTGGGTCCCTGAGCTCTGGAAATGGCGCTGAGTGAAGACTTCCTGCGCGGAAGTGATCGCCCTTACACCGGAAGCAGTGCAACCAACTGGGTGTGGAAATTCTAGTTCGTACATGTTCATAGGGTAAAATTCAAATTCATATGTGACCTCAGTATGGATAGGTGGGTACAGAGGGAGGGCGGGACCATGCAAATTGGTAGCCCTGCCCGCTGGAATATGGGTTCTATAAAAGGTTCACAGCCTGGAGTCCTCGTGGTTGCTCAGGATCGCCCATACCTCCAACCACAGTGGCACCTGAGCTGCAGTCTACACATAGGAGCCATAACAGCGGGTAAGTGACTGGGTAGGCTTAGGTGGACATTAGTTCATCAGGTTTAAGTAAAATGTGGACCACATAAAACCTCGGACTGTTACTGCCTCGTCAACCATGGGACAGATAACCTGTTCTCCCTTTCCCCTTCGAATATAGATCTATAGTATTGGGATGTTTTTGGTTATTTAGGGTTTATTTGGAGACAGAGTCTCTCTGTGTAGTGTAGGCTGGCTTTGAAATCACTTACGTGTGTGAGGATTACAGGCATGTGCTACTATGCCCGGCTGGTCTGGGATTTTAAAAAAGCGATGCTATGGCGTACCTGAGGAATGGTCGGGGTACAGATTCTGGTAAGGCTGCAAGTGGAGCATCCAGGGGACGATTGGAGGGGCAGTTCATCAGCACCTTAAGGCCGGGATAGGGCATGGGAATTTGGGTGGGTGTTGGTGTGAAGACTTAGAGGAAAAAAATCTGCTGGTTGAGGTGGACTTGATAGAGTTCAAAGTGGAGACGGGAAGGAGTTTGACCCTCTCATAAGTTGGGGCACGGAGAAGGTTTGCAGCTTTTGGTGAGACTCAATTGGGGAGCGGGAGCTTATGTTCATGAGGTGAGCTGTGGGTGGGAGTGGTGGAGGAAGGGTAGAGGGTTCGAGGCCTCATTGGTAGAAGCCTGAGTGAGATAGGAGTAGTGGGGGAAGGGCTGCGGATTCGAGGCCTGATTGGTGGAAATCCAGTTAAGGCGGGAATGGTGTGGGAGGAGGCTAGACCTCATTGTGGAAGAGCTTATGAGCTCATATTTTGTGCAGTTTTTGTTTGACCCCGTAGCCACAAGAGTGCAGCGGAAGTAAACACTGGTGGAAGGAAGGGTGGAAGTAGGTGGTTGTTGGATTGAAGGGGTACTGGGAGTACAGTGATGGTCTGCTCTGTTAAGACTGGATTATAGTACTAAATAAGGCGTATTGGGAGGGGTTGGAGGAATTGATTCCTGATACTAGGTGGAAAATTTCTTTGGGCACGGTTGGTTGGGGGTGTGGGGATTGGAATCCCTTTGGGAGTGAAGGGACTGAGTAGAGGTAAGGAAATGCTGAGGCCTTACCTGGAGGAAAATGTAAGAGGTGACATTTGAACTGACCTGACTTTAGGACCACTGTTTGCTTTGAACGTTTCTTTTTTTCTTTTTCTTTTTTTGGTACTGGGGATTAAACTCACAACCTTGAGCTTACCAGACAGTAAGCACACCACTGAGCTAAATCTTCGGCCCCTGAACTTTTCTGATCTGTGAAGAACCCTGGTGGGACAGGTTGGGGGCAGTTATAGGCTGTGTTTCTCTAGGGGTGTCTTTTTGGGAGTGTGTGTTGAGAATGTCTGTGTGAACTCTTAAGTAAAAAAAAAAAAAAAAACAAAAAAACGTCTGGGCTTAAGGAATTCTCTTGCCTCAGCCTCCTGAGATTGGGGCTATAGGCAAGTGCCATCGCCAGGGATTCTCTAGTTTTTTCATCCATGGAAAGCCTGCAATAAAACAAATTTGAAATGCCTCTCCTGCCACTAATGGTGGTGCTTTCCAATAATCCCAGTACACAGGTAAGCTGAGGAGGCTGAGGCAGGAAGATTTCAAATTCGTGTCCATCCTGGGCAATTTAGCGATTTAACAAGACTCAGTCTCTAAATTAAGAAACAAATGAGGCTGGGGATGCAGTTCAGTGTGAATATGCTGGTTCAATTGCTAGTTCTGGTGGACAGGCCAAAGAAAATAAAAGCCTCTCATTTCAGAGTAAAGCTTCAGCTTTAACTTAGGGTGAAGAGCTGGGCATGGTGGTTATATATCTGTAATTTTCGCATATATTAGGTTCTATTGGCATACTTCTCTGTTCTATGGTCTGTACTTGCTTCCATATTATCCACTTCTATGTCTGTTCAAAAGGGAAACAGCAGTGAGACAACACAGAAGACACAGAAAGCTATTTTCAAATAACTCCTATACCAGGGCTCAGTGGTATATACCTGTAATCCCAGCAACCCAGGAGGCTGATGCAGGAAGATCAAAAGTACAGGTTGGGCAATTTATTGGGTTGCTGTCCTCACAATAAAAAGTAAAAAAGGGCTAGGTAACTGGGCATGGTGGCACACACCTATGATCTCAGCACTGGGGAGGCTGAGGCAGGAGGATCACTGAGTGTTTGAGGCCAGCCTGGGCTGTAAAGTGAATTCAAGGCTGGCCTGAACTGCATAGTGTGAAGCCCTGTCTCAAAAAGATTAGGGTGAAGAGACTTCACAAAGACAAATAAAGGATGTAGAAATGTTTCATTGGGGCCAGGGATTTAGCTTAGTGGTATAAGCGCCTGCCTTGTAAGTGTGAGGTTGTGAATTCGATCTGTGTTACAAAAAAAAAAAAAAAAAAAACAAAAAACAAAAACAAAAAAAAACCCAAACAACCAACCAAAACAAAGAAATGTTTCATTGGTTCTGAGTTCTGGTTTTCTTAAGTATATCTTTGTCTTGACTACAGAAATGGACAAGTCTGAAGAAAAGCCTGGCCAATTTGATCGGTCACTCTCTCAGGATGACTGGTGAGAAATGAAAAGTTCTATTTTCTCTTAGTTTATTTTTAAATTTTCTCTTAGGTGAGTTTTACTCTTTTGATGAAACAACTTTCTCAAAAAAGGTATGTTGGGGCTGGAATTTAGCTCAGCAGCATAAGCACCTTCCTGGCAAGTGTGAGGTTGTGAGTTCAATCCCTGGTACCTAAAAAAAAAAAAATACATTTATTTCATTTAAAATCCACAGTATATAAATTGGCTAAATCTTAAAATGAGAATTATAGAGAAGGATCTGAGAAGCTAGATTCCAGCTTCCTCTACAATGCACAAGTTCTCTATGTATTTCTGTTAGTGGCCTGGCCAGTCACAACTCTATGAAACATTGCAATGCATTATTGAATGTATAATTTCTAGAATGTATTTGTTGCAATGAAATTCAGACCTGCTCTTATCTAACTTATATTGTTGATAGTGCTGTGCTCTTGAGAGACCTAGGTGTAATATTTTTCCCCCTGAGATTGCAGTAAGTTTTTTGTTTTGTCTTTTCCTTTAGGTACTAGGGATTAAATCCAGGGATGCTCTACCACTGAGTTATCCCCCTAGAACACTCCCACATTTTTCCTGCCTCAACCTCCCCCGTGCTGAGATAACAGGTGTGTGCCACCATACCCAGTTATCTAGCCCTTTTTTACTTTTTATTGTGAGGACAGCAACTCAATAAATCGCCTGACCTGTACTTTTGATCTTCCTGCATCAGCCTCCTGGGTAGCTGGGATTACAGGTATATACCACTGAGGCCTTGCACAGGAGTTATTTGAAAATAGCTTTCTATGTCTTCTGTATTGTCTCACTGCTGTTTTCCTTTTGAACAGACAGACATAGAAGTGGATAATATGGAAGCAAGTACAGACCATAGAACAGAGAAGTCTGCAAATAGAACCTAATACGTATGAAAATGTAGTTTATGATAAAAATGATTTCAGATCAGTGGGGAAAAGATGGATTAATCAATAGAAAATTTGAGGATAATTGGCCAACCACTTGGAAAAAATGAGCTGGCTTCTTAGTGTAACGTATACCAAAATAACTTGCACGTGAGCAACTATTTTAAAAATAAGAAAATGAAGCTACTAAAAATGCTATAAAAATCATGAATTTTGTTTCCAATAATTATGGAATGGGAAAGTTTTCTGAGTTTAATGTCAAACAAAAGACATAAAGGTGGCAAACAAAAAAACTGGAAAAATATTTGCTTTATGTATGATAAAGGGTATTTTACTTAAAGAACTTTACAAATAAATGTTTTAATCTATTTTTGTTTAAAATTTTTTATTAGTACATATTTGCCATACATAGTGCTTACATTCATCATAGGGAATTTGTACTTGTACATGATATATATTAATTCTTTTTTTCTCATTCCCCTCCCCTCCTTCTAATCCTTCCTTTCCCCATTTACAGAAGTTTTGGTTCCATTTTTTCCCTTCTATTTTTTTAATCCCTTTCCCTTGCACATCCCTGCCTTGTTCCCCTCCTCACTGAACAAGTTTTTCCTACTTAGCAATATCCTGTTTTGCTTCTTGTTTACCCTTAGGGTTTCTCATATAAGAGAAACAATGTAATATTTAAACTTCTGTTTCTGATTTATTGAATCCTAGCCTTTTTTTTTTTTTTTGGTATCAGGGATCTAACTCTTGACTTCACACTTACCAAGCAAGCCCTTGAGCCACTGAGTTATATCCCTGACCCTGCCCTTTTTTTTTTGATCCAGGGTCTCACTGTGTAGTTCAGGTTGGCTTTGAAGTCAGTGTGTAGTCCAGGCTGGCCTTGTACTTGTGGTGATCTTTCTGCCTCAGCCTCCCAAATGCTAGGACTACAGGCTTGCACTACCATGTGTGGACTTAAATCCTGACTCCTTATTGAATGTTGTGAAACAAATAATAATTTTAAGTCCTTACACAGTTTACCTAACCAGGAGTGGGAGAAAACTTAGGCTAGCACTTACAGAGATATATATATAATAGATGCTGCGATGGACAGCATCAATACACAGAGGAGAGCAGATATTATCGAACTTGATACTGTAGAAGTCTAGGTGAGAAATAATAATAGACTGTGATGGGTTGTTAACAGTGGGGAGACTTAAATGAGTATACAATATGTTTTAGTTTATTGATTATTCTTTTGTATTTATTTAAGTAAAATAATCTAAAATTAAATGAACCCAGAGTATTTATACTGGGCTACATCTTCCTGCCTTTTTTTTTTTTTTGGTGATAGGGTCTTTTTAAGTCACTAAATTGCCCAGGCTGGACTAAAACTTGAGATCCTCCCATCTCAGCCTCCCAGAGTGCTAGAATTGTAGGTGTGCACCACCATGCCCAGCGTTTATTATTTTTGCAGTGCTGGGAACCTAATCCAGAGCCTCAGACACACTAGCAAGTGCTCTATCACTGAGTTACATCCCCACCTCAGTCGTACATCATTTCTGAAACATCTTGGCTGAAATTGACATGCAATATAATTTGATGGCATCTCTTAGTTTGGTAGTGTTTTTGTCTTCTAAGAGGTAAATATATTTTAGGTGAAATATAGGGATGGAGCCAACAAATCTTTTTTTTTTTTTTTTCCGCATTTTTATCGGTACCAGGGATTGAACTCAGGACCACATGCTTGCAAGACAGGCGCTTATGCCGCTGAGCTAAATCCCCAGCCCCGAGCCAACAAATCTTGCTGATAGATGGTATGTGGGAAGTGAAGAAAAGAGATAAATGATAGCTCCTAAGTTTTTGGCCTACTTTTAACTACATGAATGAATGATGGTGCCATTGACTGAGATGGGTAAATCTGGAATAGACAAATGATTGAGGGAAGAAATCTAGAATTCTATGTTGGCCACGTTATATTTTAAATACTTCATAAATAAAAACTCAAGATGTCAAGACTGCTGGAGTTCAGTGGAGAACTCATGGCTGTTAATATAAAATTCGGGGACATAGGGTTTTGAGATAGAATGAACGTCCAGGAAAGAGGAAAGCAATAACTCAGCACAGAGTGCTGGAAGTACAGCAATAACAGCCTCTAAACCAGGTGTCATGGTGCATGCCAATAGTTCCAGCACTCAGGAGGCTGAGGCAGGAGGATTGCTGTGAGTTCAAGGCCAGCCTGGGCTACCTAGTGAGACCCTGTCTCAAAAAGCAAAACAAAACTAAAACCACCACCTGCTATAAGGGGATGAGACGCAGAGTACAAAGAAAAATAGTATACTGGCCTTAGACAGTTGCAGGGACACTATGTTTGTTCCATGTTAACAACAGAGAATGCAGAGCTCAGTAGTTGCAGATAGGTTGATAGAGTTTGTGTCTCTCTTCTCCCAGTATCCTGTAAGCAGGGAGAAGGGAAAGGGGGATGGGACATTCTGAAGGCAGAAGTCCTGCTGAAGCTATAATGCAGGAGATGGAAGACCAGTCAGAGCCTAATGAGTATTCTTTAATGACCACTAGGCTCTTTTTTTGTCTTTTTGAGACAGGGTCTCTATATGCAGTTCAGGCTGGCTTGGAGCTCACTTTATAGCCTAGACTGGTCTCGAATTCACAATGATTTTCCTGCCTCAACCTCCTGAGTGCTGGGATTACAGGCATGAGCCACCTCACCCATCTCCACAAGGCTTTTTTAGCCCAAGAATTTTTTTTTAAATAGTGTAACAATATAACCTTGAGGATACCAGTGCAGTGGATAATCCCAGTTACCTAGGAGGCAGAGACCAGAGGATTGCTTAGCCAACAAGCTTGAGACCAGCCTAAGCAAAAAGTGAGACCCCATCTCAAAAAAAAGAGGCAAGCAGAAAGATAGCTTTGATGATATGTGGAAATGCTGGGGTTATTTTTTGAGACAGGATTTCACTATGCAATGCAGGCCAGTCTTAAATTCACTTTGTAGCCCATGCTGGCCTGATACTTGCTGCTGTCCTCCTGCATCAGCCTTCTGAGTGTTGGGATTACAGGTGTACACCACCATGCCTGGTAGAAATACTGTATCTTAAAAATTACCCTGTCATAAATACTTTAGAATAACAGTATTAGAAAAGCAAATGGATCACCTAAGTGGGTTGGCTATTGTTTTAAATATCTTGACAGTGCTAAATTTACTTAATTAGCATCCTGTTGTTTTCTTTTTCTACTTTTTAAAAATAAGATAAGATCTTAGTATGTAGCTATTGCTGGCCGTGAACTCCTGGGCTCAAAGGACTCTTCCGCCTCAGCCTCTCAAGTAATTAGGACTCTAGTTGCATGCCATTTCACTCAGCTATAATATTAAACCAGTTAAAGTGTGGTCTAGCTTCTTCCATCAGAATTGACTGGTGGTGTTAATTAAAACTGCATCTTCTTTTTTTATTTAATTTAATTTTTTTTTAAATTGGTACTAGGGATCGAACTCATGACTGCTTGCTTGCAAGGCAGGCACTTATGCCACTGAGCTAAATCCCCAGCCCCCAAAACTGCATCTTCTAATTCTAGTTGTTTTAGAGTGAAGATTATGAAAACTGCCTATTTACTTTTTGTTTTTCTTGTCTTTGATGCTGGACTATGGATCCTTGGAAGTCTTTTTTTGAGACCAAGGTCTTGCTGTGTATTTCAGGCCGCCTTGAAATCATGATAATCCTTCTGCCTCAGCCTCTCTAGGATTACAAGTATTTTCCACCATGCCTAGGAAGTCTTATTCCTCTTGTAGCCACTGTACCAAGCATATAGTAGCTGCCTAGTAAATTGAATGAATAGATGAATAACCCACAGATTATATATAATTTATTAAAGAGAATAAAATGAAACAGAACCAAGCAGATCAGAACAAAACAAAAGTAAGTAACACACGATTTCAAAACAAGACAACAGGAAATCAACAGTGGTTACTGTAGTGTCTCTTGTTTTCTACAAAATACTTGTCCATACCTTCACACACAATAAATTCAAACAAAACAAAATAATATAAAACCAATCAAAACCAAAGAATGTGAGCCTTATGGGCCTTCAAAACCAGACTCTATGAAATCAATAATGCCTACCATAATGTCTCTTGTTCTCTTCACACATACTTTCACATGTACTAAAATCAAATAATAGAAAACAGACTAAAACCAATCAAAATGAAGAATAAAAGCATTATTGTATGCCATTTTCAAAACAAGATGATAAGAAATCAGTAATGGCTATCATGATGTCTTGTTTTCTTCAGTGTAATTGTTCGTGCTATCACACATAATAAAATCAACTCTTGTGAACACTTTAGAAGTTCTCGGCATATATAAGCCTATACATATACATCTATCCTTTCTGTATTAAAGGGAAAACAAAACAAAAGAAATATAAGAAAAAACAAGAAACAAAAGAGACAAATAAATAATAATAACAAAAAGCCCAAAACAATAACAGTGTAGGCTTTCAAAACAAGGTGGCAGGAACATGACAAATTTTGTTGTTTTGCATAGTTATCTTCAAAAGTCTTTCTCAAATTACCAGATACAGACATGCAAATTTGATCTAATCATATGAATGTTAACTGTTTTGTTCCAAAAACTAATAGAAATAGTAGTACACTCATATTAGTAATCATTAAGTGTATATATACAAATTTATATCTTTTTTCTCTTGCTTCTTTTTTCCTTTTCCCTATCAGGTATTTTTTTTCCTCTTTGTGCAGTTTCTTGCCCTTTAATCATATTTATTTTAGATTTTGTATCTTATTTACTCTCAGAAATTTTGGTATACTATGTAGGCAGTAAGGTATGTACACACGATTTATTTCACTTAGATGTATGATCTCAAGTTGCATCCATTTACCTACAAAAGCCTCAATGTGGTCCTTTGATTATATGTAATTTACAAGTATGTATTAGGCTTGAACCCATTCCTTGCACATGCTAGGCAAATGCTATAAGCTACAGCTATAGCCCTCTTATAGTATTTAATTGTAACATTTATTGAGTTGTAGAAATTACCAAGAGAATAGGAGCCTGTGGTAAAAATAATGCAGAAGTATATCAAGTAAAACACAAAACTACACTCACAGATACACATACCTTCCCATTCTTCAGAGATAATAATTTTGTACTGTATCTTCTAGATCTTTTTCTGTAATGTAAAAACATGCAGTACGTATAATTCACTAGCCCCTTTTCTCTTTTAAGACAGGGTCTTGTGTAGTTTAGGCAGGGTCCAGTCTGGCCTAAAACTGGTGATCTTTCTGCTTCAGCCTCCTGATGGGGATTATAAGTGTGTGCTACCATGCCTGGCTATTGCCCCACTTCCTGTTGCCTTTAACTTGCAGTGATCCTTCTGCTTCAGCCTCCTGGGTGGTGGCATTTCATGTGTGCACCACCAGGCCTAGCTCTGTTGCCCCATTTTTAAAGATAAGATCTTTTTTAGATTCTTTATAAGATTTTTGAGTAAGGCATGGTGGTACGTGCTTTAATCTCACCATTTGGGAAATTAAGGTAGGAGGATTGTTACAAGTTCGAGTCCAGCCTAGGCTACACAGTGAGTTCAGTGCCAGGCTGAACTACATAGTGAGACTGTCTCAAAGAAAAAATGAGAAACAAAAAAGATTTTTGAGGATTTTTTTCATGTATCTTCTTTTTTTTAAGGTATTGGATATTGAACCCAAGGCCTTATGCTGAGCTATATTTCAAGCCTCCAGGGTCTTTCTAAATTGCTAAGTTGCCCAGGCTATCTTCTTGTCTCAGCCTCCCAGAGTGTTGAATTATAGTTGTGCATCTCAACACCTGGCTTTTTTTATGTGCCTTCAAAGCCTCTCTTAGTCCTTTCATAGTAGAGTTCTGGTTAATCCAGCTGATTTTTTCCTGTAGTGGAAATATTTCCTAGTAACAGTAACGTGAGCCTTAAAGCAGGCTTACATGGGGCTTGACTTCATGGAACACTATTACATGGGAAATGTGCCAAGGAGTACCTCTTCATTTGACCACATGTTTTTTTTTTCCATAGTGCTTTCTTTGGACCACTCTTATTCATTATTATCCAGCCCAGAATTTGATATTTTGCCTTTAGAGATTAGAGTGAGGCTCTCTATCATGTAACTTGTTTTGGTTGTATTTCTAATTCCTTGTTTCTTCTGCCTAAGCTCTCAAAAAATGTGTATATGTGTAAGAAGATAGATGAGGCAAGAATCACTTTATAGTTTGTATGTAGTGCTACATTCTGATAACCACGGTCATACTGACCCAGAGTTGCAAAATCAGTGAGAATTTGCATTCCTGATTAAAACAACATGACTAATAAAAAGTATCCTGTGATTAATAAATAGGAAGTTTAGTCAAGGAGATGAGCCAGCTTGTGTTTTCTTGTTTTTGAGACAGGATCTTGTCAGGTATTTCAGGCTGGCCTAGAACTTACTATGTGACCTAGGCTGGCCTTGAACCTACAGTAATCCTCCTCCCTCAGCCTCCCAAGTACTGGGATTACAGGCATGCACCAGCTTCTATCTTGAAAGACTGAAGTATATAGTTAGTCCAGTATTGCTCTCTAGGGCAAACTAAACATCCTCAACTGCTTGCATCAATTTATATATAAAATCTGAACTTCCTTGTAGCTATTAGGTCTACTTCCTCTAGCATTTTCATCTCCTCTGTAATAACTATTGATAAGATCACCTATGCTGTAGCCAGCCTGCAGCAATAAAGCTGTTATTGCAGCATGATTCCTCTGGGCTGAGTTTTGGATGTGTGAAATAAGGGTCAAATAATGGTGTATTTTGTAAGCTGCTGTGTGGTGAGTTGAACAGGCCCAAGCAAGAATTTGCTTTGACTTCACCTCAGGTAGTACTGCATAGTTATGTGGCAAACTGTAGCAACAAAGTGGCCTGCCGAAGGGCAGTGGAAAATAAGTGCCAAGGCTGCTGGGAATTTGTGATGTAGACAAGCAAAAGACACCAGCATTGTGGTTCATTGTAGGGAGCAGCCTTAGCTCCATTCTTTATTTTTATTTCATTTTGTGCACTGCTGGGAATGTAACCTAGGGTCTCATACATGCTAGGCAAATGCTCTACTACTGAGCTACAACTCCAGCCCTGAAACCACTCTTTAGTATTTATTTATTTTTTAATTGATAGTAATATGTAGACTTATGTATCTAATGTGATATTATGATTGTTTGTAGAAAGATTCAAACGAATGAACATATCTGACTTTTATGGGTTCCTCATGAAACAGATTTGAGTACCTGTTCATTTGCCTAGCTGACAAACCCAATAGGTATGCCCTTGAGGACCTCTGAGCCTTTTTTCCCTTTTTAGTTTAACTAGTCTCTTAATTCTCAAGTCCTTCCCTGTTCCCCTCCCTCACAAGGGTGGGAACCCAGAACCTAACACATCCTTGGCAAGCTCTGTCACCGAGCCTCATCCTAGCGCACTGTGGCCACTTTCTCAGGATTCAGTTTTTTTTTTTTTTAAAAAACTCTAAGTAGAAATAAATCCTTTGCAGAAAGCAACCTTTTCTTTGGTAGTCGATGCTCAGCTGATGTTCTTCTTTTAGCTTTTTCATTTAGCAGTAAAGACAAGAGTAGCTTGTTGCTTGTAATTTTTTTTATGTCCTCTGTTGTGATCTTAATTTCATAATGACTTAAAATCCTTCAAACCTTGTATGTTTCAGAAACTCTGATTATTTATTCTGTTCATTTATTTGAAATTTTTGATGTTTAGTTTTATGATATTAAAAAGCGTCTGTGTTATTTTTGCAGTTACATTGTCAATGTGAGTTCAAGCAACAATGAAAACTCTGAATCTAGTAAGTAGAGTCAAACAGTAAGGTACATGTTGAAGCATCTTTGTCCAGATGACGGAAACATGTGGGATGTTTGGCATAAGCTGGTCTTGGGATTGTCTCCTTAAAGGCTCCAAGTTGGTCAGATGAAGTTTATTTTCCCACAGTCTGGAGCAGAGGAAGTTCTCTTTGCTTCTTTTCCAACTTGCTTCTTTTACCTTTATTTGGCTCTTGGGTCTCCTTCCCCTTGTTTCCTGTTTTGCATGGGAGGTGTCTTTTGTTTGTAGGGTTTTTTGTTTGTTTGTTTGTTTTTGGTGTGTATGTGCTAGGGACGGAATCCAAGGGTTTATGTATGTAGACACGAGCTCTGCCAGTGGGCCACCCCCAGCCCTAGGTAGATGTAAATGTTACCAGCTGTGATTCATGGGCTTTGGCTTCAGGGAGTTCAAGACATGGGCAGTTAGATTTTCTCGTGTTTTAGATGCTTCCTAATGCCCTTCTCCCTTTCTCCGATTTAGCTGTGGTCAGAAAGGCAGTACAGAAGAGACAGGTCAGGTAAGTAGAACTACTGAAACTTGATTTCTTTTTCTTTAAAAAAAATTTTTTTTTGTCTTTTTCCTTTTTATCGGTACCGGGGATCAAACTCACGACTGCCTGCTTGCAAGGCAGGCGCTTATGCCGCTGAGCTAAATCCCCAGCCCCTCTTTTTAAAATTTTTATTAGTACATGTTTGCAGTGCGTACAGTTTACAGTCATCCCAGGGAGTGAATACTTTATTTTAATCCTCTTCCCTCCTCTTTCTTCTCTCTAATTCCCCTATCCTGATTTTCATTCTCGTTGATATTACTGATCTTAGTTCATGTTATGGCATATAATGTTTACATTGATTGATATTATTAGGTTCCTGTACATGGCATATCTTTATTCTACTTATTTCTCCTTTCCCCTCCTCCTAACCCTTGTTCCCTATTGTAAGAGATCCATCCCCTTATCTCTTTCTATCCATCCTTTATTCTCTTTTTACTTTGAAAGACACCATGCAACATTTAAGTTTTTATGTCTGATTTGTTTCACTCAATATATTTTCTAGATATGTCCATTTTCCTGCAAATGTCTCAAGTTAGTCCTTTAGAGCCAAGTTAATATTCCATTATGTATAACTGCCATGTTTTCTTTATCCAGTCATCTGTTGATGGGTATACAGGCTGCTTCTAGAATTTAGCTATTACGAATTGTGCTGCTGTGTATGCATATGTCACTGTAGTATTTATCTTAAGCTATTCAGGGAAGATACCTAATAGTGGGATAGCTGAGTCATGTGGAATTTCTAATTTCATTCTTTGAGAAACTCCATACTGATTTCCACAATGGTCGTACTAGTTTCTGTTATCACTAACAATAAAGGAGGGTTCCTTTTTCACCATAGCCATACCAGTATTTGTTGTTTGATCTTGTCTTCTTCATTCTCCTCCTCCTACTGCTCTTCTTCTCTTTCTCTTCCTTCTCTTCCTCCCCATATTCCCCTTCATTCTTCTTCTTTTTTTTTTTTTTTGGAGACAGGGTCTTGACTGTGTATTTCAGGTTGGTCTTGAACTCAATATGTAGCCCAGGCTAACATTAAACTTATAGCGATCCTCCTGCCTCAGCCTCCTGAGTACTGAGATTGTAGATGTGCACCACTATGCCTGGCCTGTTATTGTTTGATTTCTTAATGACAGCCACTCTTTATGGAGTAAGATGGAATCTTAGCATTGTTTTAATTTGCATTTCTTTAATGGCTGAGATGTTGGACATTTTTTTGTATACTGACCATTTGTATTTCTTCCTCTGTGAAGTGTCTGTTCATTTCTGTTGCTCATTTCTTGGACTGGGTCTTTAACTTTGGGTTGTTGAATTTTTAAAAATTTTTTTTTGTCTTTTTCTTTTTTATCGGTACCGGGGATCGAACTCGTGACTGCCTGCTTGCAAGGCAGGCGCTTATGCGGCTGAGCTAAGTCCTCAGCCCCCGGGTTGTTGAATTTTTTGAGGTTTTTATTTTTGAGACAGAATCTCACTATGTAGTTTTGGCTGGACCTGAACTCATGGCAATCTTCCAGTGTGTACTGCCACACTGGCTCTTGAGTTCTTTATATATTCTAGAGTCCTCTATCTGAAGAAAAGCTGACAAAAATTTTTTTCATTCTGTAGGTTGTCTCTTCACTCTACAGAAGTTTTTTTTTAGTCTGATATAATCCCATTTGTTTTTTTTTTATTTTATAATAAAATAATTCTTTTAATTCTGTTAATTCTTACTGTTATTTCTTGTGCAATTGAGAGGATCTGTTTAGAAAATCCTTTCCTACATCTGTGTGTTCAAATATTTTATCTATTTTATTTTCCAGTATGTTTAATGTTTAGATCTTTGATCCATTTTGATTTTAATTTAGTGCATGATGAGAGATGGGTCCAGTTTCAATCTTCTCCAAACAGATAATCAGTTTCCTGGCCCCACTTGTTGAATTGGCTATCTTTCCTCCAGTATATGCTTTTGACTCCTTTGTTAAAGATTAACTGAATGTGTCTGGATTTGGGGGACCCTTGCAGTGAGCCACCAATCTTCTGCCAGGTGTCATGGCACACAGTGAGAGAGAGAGGGAGAGAAACAGAGACAGACAAAGACAGATAGAGAGAGAGACAGAGACAGAGAGAGAGAAAGGAAGAAGGGAGGAAGGGAGGGAAGGAAAGAAATTAAAGAAAGAACAAACGAATGAACAAGAGACAAAATAGTTATATGGCAAGGATCTGGGATGACCAGTTGTTTACAAAGAACAAAAGCTCATGAGTTAGCCAGAACCTTGGTGTTTATTGATTGAGTAGCAGATTATTGGATGACTCAAAGGGCATTGGTTTTATGCAAGAAGGATTTTGCTTTGGAGCATTTTTGTCTTTAGTGTTTGTTTTTAGTCTTAGTAGTTTTGGTCTTCATGGGTGGGAGAGGATGGCCCATCCTTAATGAGATAATGGGAAATCTCAAAAGAGTGATACTAATAATCCCAAGCCTCCATTTGTCCTTCAGAGAAGTATGTGAAACTAGCCATTGTGAATTTGTGGTTCCCAACATCTGGAGATGTATGTGTATCCTCTGTTCTGTTCCGTTGATCTGTGTATCTGTTTTTGTTCCAGTACCATGACAATTTTATCACCACTACTTTATAGTATAGCTTGTTTTTGTAAGAATTCCCACTTTGCTCTTGTTGGCCAAAATTGATTTTGCTATTCTGGGTCTCTTCTGATTCCATATGAATTGTAAGATTGTTTTCCCTAGTTTCGTAAAGTATGCTGTTGGTATTTTGATTGAGACTACACTGAATCTGTATAACAGTTTTTGGGAGTGTGGTTGTTTTGACAATATTGGTTCTGCCTATCCAGGATGAGGATACATTTTCTGGTGTTCTCTTGAATCTCTTTTTTAGAGGACTATAGTTTTCTTTTTAGAGGTTTTTCGCTTGGTTAGGCTATTTCATAGATATTTCATTTTACTATAAATGGTATTGTTTTCATAATTTCCTTCTCATTGAATTCATTATTGGTGTAAATAAATGCTAATGGTTTTTGTGTGTTGACCTTGTATACTGTTACATTGCTGAAGTTGTTTATTCTAAGAATTCTTTTGGTGGAGTTCTTTGGGTCTTTTATGTAGAATATCATGTCATCTGTACATAATGACAATTTGAGTTCTTTCTTTCCTTTATGTATTTGTTTTATTTCTTTCTCTTGCCTGATTGTTCTGACCAATGATTCAAGCACTACCTTGAATAGAAATGGTGATAGTGGACATCCTTGTCTTGTTCCTGATTTTAGGGGGAATGCTTTTAGTTTTTCCCTATTTAATGTGATACTGGCTGTTGGCTTATCATAACAGCTTTTATCACATTCAGGTATGGTTCCTTTATACTTGTTTTGAGTTTTTTTTCTAATCAAGAAGGGGTGTTGGGTTTCATCAAAAGCTTTTTCTCCCTCTATTGATATGATCACATGGGTTTTGACCTTGCTTATGTTTATGTGATATATTACATTTGTTGACTAGGTATGTTGAATCATCCTTGCATCTCTGGTATGAAACCTATTTGATCACCTTGTATGATCTTTTTGATGATGCACTGCACTGCATTGGCTAATACCTTGGGTCTTGATTACTTTTCTCTCATTGATAAGACAAAATACCTGACACCCAAAATTAGGGAAGGAAAGGTTTGGTTAGCTTACAGTTTTGGGAGGTTTCAGTCCATACTTAGCTGGCTTCAAGGCTGGGTGCCATGGCTAAGAGGCAACCATTCACAGCTGCCGCAAGGGACAAGAATGAACAGGGTAAAAAGGGGAAGGCATGCCTCCTTCCTTTCCTTATACTGTATGCTGGCTACTCACACTGCCAATCCCAGTGCTAGACAATGAACCAGTCATAAATGCTAGACTCAACCACCTCCATGACTGCATGGGGTTTTGGGAGGACATTTAAACACAAGCCACAATACCTTGTTGAGGATTTTTGCATATGTGTTCATTAAGGAGATTTGTCTTTAGGTGGGTTTTTGGTTTTGGGATCAGGGAAGCACTGGCTTCTATAAAGGAATTTGTGAGCACTCCATTCCTTTCAATTTCTTTGAAGACCTTGAGGAGTATTGGTGATATAACATCCTTAAAAATTTTGTAGAATTCAGCAGTGAATCCTTCAGGTCCTGGGTGTTTTAATTGATAGCTTATTACTGTGTCAATTTCATTGCTTGTTATTGGGGTGTTAAGCATATTTGTGTCTTCTTGGGTTAGATTTGGTAATTTATATAACTCTAGGAATCTATTTCTTTAAAATTTGCTGATTTGTTGGAATATAATTTAAGCAGTTACTATCTTCTAGATTTTAACAGTGTTTGGCATGATTTTACCTTTTTCATTTCTAATTGCATCAATGTGAATTCTTTTCTCTCTTTCTCTTGATGAGTCTGGCTAAGGGCTTATCTATTTTATTTATTTATTCAAAGAACCAGCCCTTTGATTCATTGATTTTTTTTTTGGGGGGGGGGTGGTACTGAGGCTCACACCTGCCAGGCAGTCACTTATTGCTGATGAGCTAGATCCCTGGCTCCTGATTCATTGATTTTTTTTAGTTCTTTTTTTTTTTTTTTTTGTCTTTTTTCATTTTTATCGGTACCAGGGATCGAACTCACGACTGCCTGCTTGCAAGGCAGGCGCTAATGCCGCTGAGCTAAATCCCCAGCCCCTTCATTGATTTTTTTAAAACAAAAATTTTTTTAGTCTCAATTTCTTTGATTTTCAGTCTCATTTTTTTCTTTTTTTAAATTTTATTTAAAGAAAGACTAAACAAAACAGAAAATGGGTAGAAACAATACATACTTTCAAAGAAAAAAGTAAACAGTAAGAAATCAGTAGTTGATGATTACAGATTGTCCTCTTACAAATAGTTATTCAAGATACTAAAGTAGAGCATATAAAGTGGGGATTCAAACAGTAGGACTGCAGCCAGTTCTGTTCAACTATCCAACAAAAACTTAGAAATATGG